CCCACATCCACAGACCTGCCCCACTGTTGTCAGGGCCACGGGGCATTCCGTCGTGGGCGACAGCTGACCTGCGCAATCCTCTACCAGTGGAGATTTAGGTTGGTTTTCGTTTTTCTCTGTTTAAAACCGTTTGCAGAGAGTCTCCTTGTTAAAAACACTTTTGTATCCTTACAGGGGAGTGTCCTCGGGTAGTTTCCTAGAAGCACAATTCTCAGGTCAGGTGTGTGGGCGTCTGAAGTCCTAAGAGTGTGACCCAGCCACCCTGCAGTATGTTGAATCACCAACAGCGTCACGGTGCTTGCTTGTTCACGCACCTGGCAGCTCTGGCAGTACGAAATCTTTTAAAACGTTCGCCAAGCCGGTGGGGCAAGAATAGCCCACTGTGGTTTTGATTTGCATTTCTTAAGCTCTGGGCAAGGCAGAGCGTCTTGCATCTGCTCGTGGAGGGTGTACTGGGTTTTCTGTGCGTTGTCTGTTTATCGTTCTTTGCCTTTGTTTGGAGCTGTTGTCTTTTTCTACTACGTACTTTTGCATTCAGCAAATATTAAGTTCCTCTATGTGATGAGCACTGTGCTGGGCACTAGAGCTGTAACGGTGAGGAAACACCGCTGTCTTTGCCCTTTGGGAGCTTACGGCGCACCGGGAGACAGCAGTCATCCGGCGATGCTCTGGGTGGGTGTGTGTGCAGGCTGAGCTAAACGCCATGGAGGGGAGGCTCTTGCCTCTCTTAGAGCGTGTAAGAAGAGAGATGCCTGGACTTGGGGGCAGAGCAGATTGCCCTAAGGGGCGGCTTCTAGGACAAACAGGATCTGGGGTTACGAGAAGCATCTCTGGAAGAAGAAACAGCATCACGGAGGGAACATGATGCGTCAGATGAGCTAAAAGACGGTCACGGAGCAGACCACAGAGAGAACAGTGACACAAGATGGGGCTGGACTATGTCACCTGGGGCCCTGACCCCGTTCATGTTGGGGTTTTTTTCTCCTAGAGAAACAGAAAGCCAGTGAAGGATCTTGAGCCCTAGTTGGTGATCAAATCTGCATTCTGAAAAGATCACTCTGGCTAAAGAGAAGGGAAACAGGAAGACCAATGAGGGTTTTGAATCAGTCCATGTGAGGTCCGACCAGAGCTTGGCCCTGGACTGTGGCAGGGGACTTGAAGAGAAGAAGGTGAGTTCAAGAAATAAGTAGGAAGTCAAATAAATTTGATGATGGATTGTATAGAGGGGGCCAGGAAGGGAGGAGGCACCCAGGACGAGTCCTGGGTTCCTAATTCGGTGGATGGTAGTGCCATTTACCTGAATAAGAACGGCCACGTGATCCAGCACTTCACTCCTGGGTAGGTATCCAGAAAGAACTGAAACGCTAATTCGAAAAGATACATGCACCACAATGTTTACAGCAGTATTTTTTACAATAACCAAGACACAGGAGCAACCCCAGTGCCCATGAACAAACAAATGGATAAAGTTTTGAGATTTACATATAAAATGAAATGTTACTCAGCCATAAAAAGAATGAAATTCTGCCATTTGCAGCAATATGAATGGACCTAGGACCTAGACAATATGATTTTTAGTGAAATAAGTTAGACAGAGAAAAACAAATGCTGTATGATATCACCTCTATAGAGAATCTAAAAGATAGTATAAATGAATGTACGTCCAGAACGGAAACGGACTCACAGACACAGAAGACAAACTAGTGGTTACCAAAGGGGGAGGGAGGGGCAGATCGGGGGGGGGAAGGGATTCAGAGACACAAACGATTATGTATAAAACAGATCAGCAACAAGGATACATTACACAGCACAGGGAATGATAGCCATTATCCTGTAATAACGTTTAATGGCGTGTGATCTGTAAAAACACTGAATCTTTATGCTGTTAACCTGAAATTAATATAATATTATAAATCAACTGTACTGCAATTGAAAAAAAAGAAATGCTAGACGAGGTCGAGGATGAGTTCAGTCTCACACGACACTCTGAGTGCAGCTGTCAAGTAGGCAATGAGACATAGAAGTCTGGAACCAGAGGAAACGCCTGGACTGGAAACATAAATATGGAAGTCACTGGGATGCAGCCATTATGCTGTGGGTTTAGAGGAAGCCGCCCACGGAAGGAGGACAACGCCCAGCTCAGGTCTGCTCTGAGTCCTTCGGGGCGCCAGGATGTAACGGCTGAGTAGAGAAGGACGAGACGGGAAGGAAGGACCAAAGGACAGCCCCAGAGCAGGAGGAAAGCCCGCCGCGTGTGGTGCCCAGAGACCAGGGAAAGGATGTCCCAGACAGGACGGGGCGGCCGGGAGTGCCGAGTGCCGCCGGCACGTCTGCAAGGAGGCCTGGAACGTGCCCACCGGGCTTAGCGACACGGAGGGCCTGGCGATGTTCGCTGGAATTGTTTCCGTGAAGTACCGGGGGCAGGAGTCCGACTGGAGATGGCTGAGAAATGAGTGGAAGGTGAGGACGTGGAGACACCGTAGGGACCACTCCCAGGAGGTGTGATTTTGAGGGTAAACAGCCCCAAACCTGTTCAGCCTCAGTCTCGACTCTTGACCCTTCCTTGCCACTCAGTAAGCTGAACTGATTTTCCAAATTGGAATTTGGTGTCCCACAGCTGTGGTCTCCCCGGAGCCACGGCACGCAGCCAGCCAGGGACAGAGTCTGCAGTGGAGGCCGCCTCGACCCTGGAGGCTCTTCCGTCCCTTTGAGCAGCTTCTGACTCTGCAGGACTGGGAAGGCCCGTTGCAGACATGCTGCTGAAACCGGCTTAAAGAAACAAAGGGTCCTTATGCTTTAGAGGTGCCTACTGAAAAATGGAAGGATGAACAGTGTCTGGGATTTGCAAAATGAAACAAGCTAAGCCATGATAATCATTGAAGCTGGGTGATGGGATGGGTACATGTAGGTTTAGTATACTGTTCTCACTACTTTTTTTTAAATTGAACTTTTTTCGTTTTTCCTCCAATAATTCAGTTTTTTTTTAATTGAAGTATAGTCAGTTTACAATGTTGTGTCAGTTTCTGGTGTACAGCATGTTTCGGCCTTACACGTACATACATATATTCGTTTTCATATTCTTTCTTATTATAGGTTACTGCAAGATACTGAATATAGTTCCCTGTGCTGTACAGAAGAAACTTGTTTATCTATTTTATGCATAGTAGTTAGTATCTACAAATCTCGAACTTCCAGTTTGGCCTTCCCCACCCTCTTTCTCCGCTGGTAACCAGAAGTGTGTTTTTCTATGCCTGTATTCTCACTACCTTTGTTTATGTATACATTTTTCATAATATGTTGTGGAAAGTTAAGTTCAGTAACTCTATAAATTGAAAGTACACAGAGCCAGTGACCATCACAGGCCCACTGTGACCAGGCCACTTGAAACAGGATCTCCTTTACATCCAGTTTGCCGTTGGCTTGTGGGTTTCAAGGTACCGAGTGTCAGAGGGAGGAGAGTCTGCTGTCAGGTGCTGTCCCTTCTCCTCGGTAACCCTGGCGCCTTGTTTCCTGCCCCTCTTCTCCTCTCTTACCTCCCTCCGGGGCGTGGACTGCAGATCCCAGTTCTGTCACCCCTCTTCGTGAACCTGAACAAGTTCCCCTCATCCTTGAACCACGTTCCGAACGATGGGGACGCACACCTACTTAGCAGCGTTGCGAGGGCTGACGGGCAGTGTGTGTGGGAGTAGCTAACCCAGCTCAATGCCTCGAAAGCGCACAGGGGGCCGGAGATGCTCACACTAAGAGCAGCAGGTCAGACAGAGAAGGACAAACACCACATGCTGTCACCTTACGTGCAGTCTGAAAAGATGATGCAAATCAACTTCTTTACCAAATGGAAACAGACTCACAGACATAGAAAAAAATTTTATGGTCACCAGGGGAGAAGGTGGGGAGGGATAAATTAGGAGTCTGGGATTAGCAGATATAAACTACTATATACAGAATAGGCAAACAACAATGTCCTACTATATAGCACAGAGAACTATATGCAATATCTTGTAATAACCTATAATGGAAAAGAATCTGAAAAAGAACATATACACATATATATAACCAAGTCACTTTGTAAATCAACTATACTTAAATATCAATCAATCAATCTATCAATCAGAGAAAAACCAAGAGAAAAAAGCCACAGAAACCAGGTAATATAAATGAATGGAGGTGCCCAAGTAGGGGAAATCATGTGACCGGCTTGGCCCGTCTTTAGCTTTGCCACATTTAGTAGACATACAAGTAGAAAGAATTGTAAGAAAAATTCTAGTCTATAAGAAAAATAATAACTCAAGCATGCTCATAAATGGAGTAAGTAATCCATATTCATAAATCAGTGGGGAAGAAGCTGAGACCTGGCCTCAGCGTGGGGGACACTGGGGAGTGGCGGGGAGTGGGGCCGCCGAGCACGCAGGCCCCGTCTGACAGGGCGTCCTCAGCTGCGTGACTGCTGCCGTGAGGGAACGCGGAGCCAGTGTTAACATGTCTTCTTGTTTCACAAGAGAAGCTAGGACTCTCAGGTTTTTATGGGAAACCTCCCAATTCTTAAACTTGGGTTCAATTATTAAAAAAAAAAACAAAAAACAAAAAACAAAACACTACAATGGCCAAAGTAAGCCCATTTGTGGGCCAGAATCAGCTCACGGGCTGCCAGCGTGCGCCCTCTCACCTAGAAGGCGGGCAGAAGTCCCTCCCCTGCTCCCCTCCCCCCTTTATGTTCTTGCTCTTTCTCCTTCCTCTCGTTTTCCACATCCTTCTCTCCTGACCACTGCCGCCCTTCCTTTCTAGACCAAGTCCAAGTGCGGGAGGGGTGGAAGTGGGCTGGGGACGTGACTGCGCCCAAAGGGGTGCTCTGGGTGCCTCCCGCGCCCCAGGGCCGAGGCCGGCGCCCGGCTCGCAGTGCGTCATGAGGACAGACCTGACGGCTGAGCGAGCGGCGGCTGGGCCGGCAGCCTGTCCTGCGCACCCGGGCTCACCGAGGACCGTCCCGTCTTTCTCCACAGCCTTGCGAAGCCGCTCCGGGCGCTCCATCATCAACGGGAACTGGGCCATTGACCGGCCCGGCAAGTACGAGGGCGGAGGGACCATGTTCACCTACAAGCGTCCGAACGAGATTTCGAGCACCGCCGGGGAGTCCTTTCTGGCGGAGGGTCCCACCAACGAGATCCTGGACGTCTACGTGAGTCTGAGCTGTGGCCCGGGCTCTCTGCCTTCTTGCTTCTCGGGGCCCCACGTAGAGCAAGGGAGGGCGGCTCAGGAAGACCGTCTGAGCGGCGCCCTGGCGGTGCCCTGCGAGCCTGGCGCTCGTCTGCGCCCCTCATCTCTGACGGTGCCCCATTCACAGAAACCTTGCACTCTGCCAGATGCTTTCACCCTCAGAGTTTACTGAACCAATTTTACTTGTTGAACCAAATCAGAGGCAAAATACATCCTTTATTTCATGAGCGTTGGGTCTCCGCCAGGCCCTCTCCTCCTGTGCTAATTTGGCGTGTTTTCTTTTTATGGCAAAAGAAAGCAAATGCCTAAAGCAAGACAGGACCACTCACAGCCCCCAGCCCTCTTCAGATTCCATTAAAGCAAGTGAAGAAACGAGAGCTCCAGGGTCCTCCAGCCCGCAGGTTACTCAGAGTCACAATACAGAGGTTTACTAGAAGGCCCCCGCTTCGCAGAAGCCAGAACTTTGGTTTCTTTTACAAGAAACTAAAGCTCTAAGTTGCCCCAGAGTTTAAAATTGTCCTTATTTTTAACTGAAACCACTAGAATCCAGCCTTCTTTAAAAGATCAGGAAGTAAAAAATGACCAGAAAGGAAAGCTCAAAGTCACATTTTGATAAAAAAGAATGAGCCCCCCGCTAGGCATGCATCCTCTCACCACCTCCAGAGCCTCGCTGGCCTCCTCAACATTGCTGAGTTCGAGTTTTATGAATATTACTTCTCCAGCTCTCTGGTTACCTGTTCATTCCTCCTGGGCCCAGTGGCCCGTGGACTAGAAACTATAAAGGAAGCCTTGTTATAGTACATTATTTAAAGTTTTTTTTAGACTGTCCAGTTGGTTGTTGGACTCTAGGTAAGTTTCAAATGGCATCAGAGGTAAAAACTCAGGGTGTGAAAGGCCCACTGTGGGTGGTCTGGGATGTGGTGGCCAATAATAATTTCACAAACGGGACGGATGTGCACTGGCAGAACATTGCCTCAGAAGAGGCGCAGAGGAAGGAGGAAGGAGGAAGGGGAAGGGTTTTCTGTCGGATTGTGTGAGGAGAGAAGTGAGGGGCTCAGAGCAGACAGCGGAGCCCAAGGTCACAGCACCGTGTCCCTCGGGGGTTCTCTGGCCGCCATGGTTCCTGGATGCCAGGAGCCCAGGGCTTCTCATGAATGCCTTCCATGGATGATTTATTGACTGGAGGCCCCATTTTACGTGTAGGGAAAGGGTGAGGGCTGATGGTGTAAATGGACAGAACAGACACCCTCCTAGACCAAACAGGACCCACCCATGCGGTGTGACTCAGTGGACATGTGTAGCTAAAAGGACCTAAGAGATGAGCTGTGAGTCCAGCCTCCTGCTTCTCCAGATGAAGACGTCAGACACTGAGAGATCAAGGCCCCTGCTCCAGGTGACAGAGCTGGGGAGCAGGAGGGCCCCTTCAGGAAGCAGTGGAGAGAGAAGCAGCACAACACGACCCTGTCTCCTCGCCCGGCCCGTGTTTTCACTGCGGCTTCCCGATCTGCTGCTCCACTGAGTGCCCCACCCTGCTTCCTCCTGCCCGGAAAGCCTGGGGCACAAGGGAGTCTGGGCTCCAAAGCCGACAGGGCGGGACGTGCTCTGCTGCGCCACACTGGCTGGCTTTGTGGCTTCGTCCTGGGCTGTCTGACCGCTGGCTTCCACGGCCCTTGCGGCTTTTGTTGAGGGTTCCTGAGAGAACGGGGCCCAGAGAAGCTTACTTACCTTATGCCGGTTTTTCTCACCCCATCTCTCTGTGGTTCTGGAACTTTCCGTGGAGGAGAGGGCCTGGAACCCAGAGGGTCAGGGAGGGAGAGGATTGGGGCCCACCCTTCCGGAGTCGGCCTGCTGGGCCCGGGGGTCGGAGGGCTCTGCGGGAGGTCTGGCCCCTCTCCGCGTGGCTCTGTCCGGCCACCTGGTGTCCAGACGGCTTCTCCGTAGGGTAAACTTCAGTGTCTGTTTTGGACATTCTGAGAACCGTGAGTAAAATCTAAGCCGTGGTAGAGGCTGGTTGGGAGCCAGTGGGCGGGTTCACTACCATGGCTCCCTTCTTCCTATTAGGAATTTATAAAATCTTAACCTTCAGCCTACTTTTCTTGATTCTCTCAAAGACGACGTTCTTCATTCTTCAAAAGCCAATAGCAAAAAGCCATCTGGAAATCGCCTTCGCTTAGTCTGTCCCCGGCCCACTAACATTGTTAGATTAATATTGGTGAATCCGTCCACTCAGTTATAGTCAGTGCCGCTCACACCACCGGGCCGGAGCCAGCAGGAGAGGGTGTGCCCGCGCGCCAGGCGCTGACGCGCCCCTCTGTGTTGCCAGATGATCCACCAGCAGCCTAACCCGGGAGTGCACTACGAGTACGTCATCATGGGGGGCAACGCCATCAGCGCCCCGGCGCCGCCTCACAGGAGACCAGGTACCACCGCTTGTTCTGCTGCCTAGCGCTTTTATTTTATTTCATTGTATTTCATTTCATTTTATTTTATTTTATTTCAAGCACTTTTAAAGCCCTTCCCTCTTCTTCTTGTGTGTCCCCCTGTGTCTCTCAGTCAGCGCACAGACAACCCACAGACACATACTTTAGAGTTAAGGGGCCTTGGAATCAGAGGATGCTTCGCCGTCTGCCTGAGGCTCCCCTGATAAGAGTGTCCCATGCACATGACCCAAACATGAAGTCAACATTCGCGGTCTGACTTTCCAGTTCCACGTCTTGTATTAGTTTCCTGCTGCTGCTGTAACAAACGACCTCACACTTAGAAGCATAAAACCACACAAATGTGCTGTCTTACAGTTCTGGAGGTTGGAAGTCCAAAATAGATTTTATTTATTTATAATGGAGGTCCTGGGGATTGAACCCAGGACCTCATTCATGCTAAGCATGCGCTCTCCCCCTGAGCTATACCCTCTCCCTCCCCGCAAAATGGGCTTTGCTGGGCCAAAATCAAGGTGTTGGCAGGTTATGTTCCTTCCACGGGTTCTGGGAAGGAATGTGTTTCCTTGCTGTTTTCAGCTCCAAGAGGCCACCACACTTCTTGGTTCACAGCCTCTTCCTCCCTCCATCTTCAAAGCCAGCCAGGTGGCACCCTTCACATCTCTCCTCACCTCTGACCCTCTTGTCTCAGCACATCTCCTTCTCTGTCTCTGGCCCTCTTGCCTCTTTCTTATAAGGACCCTTCTGATTACACTGAGCTCAGCCAGACAGTTCAGGACAACCCCTCCATCTCAAAATCCAGGAGAACCTAATCACATCTGCAAAGTCCCTTTTGCCACATAAAATAACAAGCCAGACTCCAGGGATCAGGACACAGACCTCTTCAGAGGGACAGTATTCTGCCTCCCATTTGCCTTTTCTCTTGGTCCCCTCCTGCTTCTGCTAACATTCCTCTGACCCGAGAGAAGAGAAGAATGAGCTCTCCCCTGCCAGCGCCCTCTTCCCGTGGGCTCCGCTGGCAGACAGCCTGCAGCGCTCGCTCGGTGCTGCTGCGTGTGTCACAGCCCCTGGCCGGGATCTTCGCCGGGTGATGGGGGAGCCCACCACCCACATGGAGGCTGTCTCTTCCATCTTTCGAACAGGAAGGTCTGCAGGAACGCTAACGATTGTGGTCACTCGCGCACGCCAAGTCCTGGCCGCATGCTGCACTGCTGAGCCTTTTACGTAGACTAGCCCATCCGACCAGCGGGGCCCAGAGGGAGGCACTGCTGCTAGCCCCGTTTTAGGCGTAAGGAAATGGAAGCGTTACGTGCCCAGGCCCCACAGTGACCTCAGGCCAGCCTGGGTCACTAGCCCCTGTGCTTGTGACACTGTCCAGAGGGGACCTGGTCCAACCCCTGTCCTAGGAAGTGAGGGGACAGACGCGAGACCGGGTCCATTCATCCTTCCCTGGGTTCTCAGTTGGATAATCGGGTGATCTGATTGTCACAGGTCGGGGAGGAGCCACCTCGCTGCCGGGAGACCACAGCCTGGTGTGTGCCTGGCACGTGGGGTGCATGTGCTGTCCAAACGCCAGGTCAGCCCACTCACGTTTCCAGGAGTAATGTACAGCCTGAGAAACCAAGTTCAGGTGGCAAAATACTGAGATTACTGAGGTCTGATGCTGATTTACAGGGGCAGCTGGACAGACTGTCTTAGGCATAGGGGACGATGATGACTTACAGCCAGTGTAATGGGTCTCAGCTGATGGGCAGTGAGGCTCCGGGATCAGCTGCCTGGGACAGGGCAGGCCAGAGGGGCCAGCTGGAAAAAGCTGGTGAGGAGAGGCATTCTGGACCAGGCTTCATCCTCCGTATCAGCGGAGTCAGGAGGCCAGAGCTTGAATTCAACTTGCCACTTTCTTGCTATGCGCCCTCAGGCAAGTCAGTAACTTCTCTGAACACATTCACAGGCTACAAAATAGAGAGAAAAAACGTGCACCCGAAGGTTTGATTTGGGAGGGAGGGGGTATGGAATAAATCAGGTCTCCCTCCCAGCACATGCCCGGTGCGTACGAGGTACATAAAAGACTTCTGAATGTTTTATCTGAAACATCTTAGTCTCGTTGGTATCAGCACGGGTGCTGGGCTCGGTTCTGTCGGTTTAATTTGCATGTAGTGTCTTACACCCTGAAGTATCGTGAGTAGGCAAGTCAACAGTAACGTCCTAGAGGAAGGGTGTTGAAGACCCTGTTTCAGCTGCATTTTGCAGTAACCCTAGGATTTGCTTTATTATTTTATATTAAACTAGTGAATGTCTGCACACTACTCAATCAGAACACACGTATGTAAAGTGAAGTGCAGCTGCTCCTTCATTGCCAAAACTCGGAAGCAGTAGGTGAATTTGGATAAAGAAGCTGTGGTCCCTCCAGACAGCGAAATATTATTCGGTGCTAAAAAGAAATGGGCTGTCAGGCCTCGTAAAGACACGAAGGAACCACAACTGCACGTCACTAGGTGAGAGCAGCCGTCTGGAAAGGCTGCGTGCCGTGCGGCTCCACGCGCGTGTGTGACGCTCTGGAAGAGGCATGACTGTGGAGACAGTGAAGAGGTCAGTGGTTACCAGGAGCCGACAGGGACAGAGGGACCAACTGGCAGAGCACGAGGATCTCAGGGCAGTGGAACTACTCTGTGTGATACTATAATGGTCCATACACGTCCCGTATTTGCCAAAACCTACAAAATGTACACCACCGAAGGTGACCCGTGGCGTGAACCATGGACGTTGGGTGACAGAGATGTGTCAGTGTAGGTTCATCTGTTTTTAGCGGGGGATGCTGCTGTGGGAGGCTGTGCACGGGGCGGGGGCAGGAGAGAGGTGGGACCTCCCCGCACTTCCCGCTTGATTTGGCTGTGAGCCTTAAACTGCTCTAAAACTATATACACGGTCCATTTATTTTTGAAAGCAGCACCCCCAACCTCGTCCTCTCCCGGCGCCCCAGGGGGAATCGCTCTTGAGCAGCTTGGTGGGCTCGGGCCGCGCCGCTGCTGTGCACACACAGGCATGTTTGCAGCCGGTCCGAGTCGCTGTCCGCAATCCAGGTGTAAGCACGCCAGTCTTCCGCGTGAGCCGTTGTAAATCCAGCCTCAACCGGAAACTTCTTTGCAACTGGGAGAAAATTCAATCCCAGACAGTCTGGGGGATCCCACACTCACCCAAGGTGGAGTTAGGGTCTGTGGCGCCCAGGAGACCCAAGACCTCAGAAGCCCACCTCCCCTTGCTTTGGACATCTTCCTCTCTCAGCACTCTCCACTCTTCCCTTCCCCCTCCCCTCCGCTGGCCCCTCTGGGACCCGTTACCCTTATGGGGAACCCAGGCTGTCACCACGGGACAGAAGAGCTGTTGACCTCCAGCAGCTTTTTCTTTCTTTCCTGAAAAAATCGGAGGCAAGAAAATCTAAGGACTTGGCCATTTGGACTAGGAGAGGAGGAGGAACGCCGTAAAGAACAAAACACAAATTAATCTCTCAAAAGAGTCTCCCTCCACATCTGCGCATGAGTAGATGTGCACACGCGGATCCGCCACATTTGCGCGCGCGTGTGTGTATACACACGGATCCGCCTGCGTTCTTTTTCTTTCACCAAACTACCTATCAGTCGTATCTCCATGTCACATCGTGTATTTGCTTCATTCTTTTAAAAGAGTGACATAGTGTTTCATTCGTGGCTGTAGCATAATTTACTCTAACTGGTGCCTCTAGTGGACACGTAAGTCCATTCTGCGGGTTTGCTGTTTCAAACAATGCTTTAGTAACCATGCTTGTCCACGCAGCCTTATGTAACACAGAAAAATGGAAATACCTGTAGGACAAATGTCCTGGAAACTGAATCGCAAGGTCAGAAGGTGTGTGCGTGGAAAATTTGGAGAGAGACTGGCAAATTGCCCTCCAAAACCTTGCGTCCGTTGGCAGGCCCGGCCAGCGTGTGAAAGCGGGTCCCCGCGCCCTCCACGGGCGGTGAGGGCGCTCAGCGTTCCCGGGGGCTCATCGTCGCGGTCAGGCAGGCGGGCTGCTGCTGCCGGCTGCTTCCTTGCGCACTGCTTCCCGTCGTGGGTGGACTGAGCGTGGTCATGCGCCTTTGGCCGTCGGTGTTTCTCTCCGCGTGAGCCGCCTCTCCCTGGCCCTGGTCCACCCCCACCGGGACGTTCCTCTTCTTCTTACCCATTTGTAACATCTGCCTGTTTCAAATCTGTGTGCCGTGAGCTAGGAATGAGCTCGTGCCTCCTGATGTCTAATGTTGGAGCAACTCCCTCTTTACGACTCACCATCCGAACCCACCTTCCTTCTGGGGTGTGTGCACTTGCCTCTTGCAGGGGAGCCCTTCAATGGCCAGCTGGTCCCAGAGAGGCGGAGCCAGGACGAGGGAGCAGAGAAAGACGGGGACGAGGAGAGGGCAGACGTGCACGGCGGGGCGCCTGAAATATTCACTCCGGAATCCGCACAGACCTTCCCGGTCAGGCATCCAGACAGGTTCTCTTCCCATCGGCCGGACAGCGTGGTGCCACAGCCCCCGCGGCGGAGCCGGGACCACAACTGGAAGCAGCTGGGGACGACTGAGTGCTCGGCCTCCTGCGGGAAAGGTGAGCTCGCGGTGGGGCTGGGAGGGTCTCTGAGACCCCTGGACAGGGACCGTGCCGGTGGGCACGTGGCAAACCCTCCCTCCCTTGAGCCTGACTGTGAGACGGCTCCTAGGTGTGACGCTGTGTTGGGAGTGGGGGGTCCCCAAGATCACCCTCAGGCTCAGAGATCCACTGGAAGGTCTTACGAGACCCAGAAAAGCCGCCGTGCTCACAGTTACCATGTATTACAGTGAAAGATTGGAATCAGCCAAGGGAAGAGTGCCAAGTCCCGGAGACACCAGGCACCAGGCACCAGCCTCCAGGGCTCCCCTCCCCGTAGAGTGGCTCAAGGATGCACTTAATTCTCCCAACAATGTTGTACACGAGCTGAGCATTGCCAACCAGAGAAGCTCCCTTGAGCTCTGGTGTCCGGGGAGGGTATTGGGGTTCAATCACGCAGGCATACAGCCCCCACATTACCAACATGAGCTACTCAGCCGCTAGCACCCAGAGGTCAGACTGAGACACTGTGGCCCAAGGCCTCAGGCAGCAAGAACAGGCCTGCACACCCACCACATTGTTGGCCTCAGCTCACTTGTCAGACTGATACAGTGCAACCCAAGATCTCCTGCACAGAAAACTCTCACCAGCAGAATATTCCAGGGCTCTGAGGACATCCCCAGCCCTGGTCAAGGGCCAGCCCTGAGCACTGGGCTGCCCAGGTGGCCCTTCCCCACACCGCGTGCCCGTTCGCAGTCAGAGACCGGCTCACCTGCCTCAAGGTCTGGGCTGACGTACACGTCGCGGATGTGGAGCTCTTGGCCAAACGCCAGTCGAAAGTCATTCTCAAATCTAAGGACCTTCAGGGGAAAAAATGCTTTGGGAGCTTGAAGGGTTAGTTCACCAGCTTTTATACTCAGCAACACTCGCAACTCCCTTCTTCCTCTTCAGTAAATTCTTAATCCTCTGTCCGTCCCATCACCTGAACCGAGTCCACTGAGACCTCCAGGAACAACCTATAGCCCCACAAAGCCAGTTTCCACAGCAGGGAAACCACCCACCAGCCAGCAGAGAGAAAAGCTGGAGTTAAAGAGTTTGGGGAGAAGGTGGAGTTTAGGGGAGACTTAAATAGAGCAGGGCTGTGATAGTCCAGAAGCAGAGCGTGGTGTGTGAAGGGGCCACGTCGCAGTCTGGACTGTGAAGTGGGCTCACAGCCCCGAGTCCCTGACAACTCCACGGGTGAGCCAGGCGTGCGAGTGCTGTCCAGAAACCCCTGATCGGATGTTCTGCGGGGTCGGACACTGAAGCTGCTTCTCTGTTCCAGGACGCCCTAGGTCCTCGTCACAAGGGCGCGTGTGACTGTGTGGTCGTGATTTCCTTCATGCACGTGGCGGTCGCCTCCTGCTTCTAGCAGAGTGCTACTTGTGACCCTAAAATGGCTGTTCTTGGAGGGGAGGTGGTCATGGAAGCAAAGGCTGTACCCCCGAGGAGCTGCTGCCTTCTTCAAGAGATGTGTGTGTGAGGGCTCCAGATTTGGAAACCATGAGGTCGTCGACACTTGGGAAGGTCCTCCACAGCCTCCTCTCAAGCTTTTATCTTTTTCGTAAAAGCACTGACTTAGTGATTTTTTAGAATCCAATTCAAGTCTTTGGTTCCCCTTGGGGTCTGGAGCCCTTCCTGCCTGGAACCTTCGCTGGTTCCAGGGTGGCTCCACACCTGGAGCGCTGGCTTCTGGAGGCTTTCCCTTGTTTATGAGGAGCTGTGCAGAGCAGGTGGAGTGGGGAGTCATTGTGCCGACTTCTTTTGTAAGCAGTATGAGGGGAAGTTAAATGTCTGCTGAATATGTCTTGATAAAAAGCAGGAAGCCAGAGATTAATTATGTGTTAAGGCCAAAATCGCTGTAGAGAAGATCTGTTCACGGCACCGAGGAGGGAAGGAGCACGAAATGTGACTCATAGGAGCCCAGGATCAAAATGTGTCGTCACTGAAACGTTCTGCCTTAGGCGGCAGTGCGATGCCCGTTAAAGGAACCAGACACACCAGAACTAGGTGAGACCAAGGGCGAGTTCTAAAAAGGATAAAAACTGTTGTCGTGTGGCTTGATCTCAAGGGCTTGGGGAGAAGATTCTCTTCCGTTTCATGTCTTTAAAGACAGCCTGGCCCAGCCTTCCCAGAAGGATAGGATGTGGGTCTGTCTGGAGACCGTAAGGCAGGGCGCCACGGACACAGCGGGACAGGAACAAGAGCTCGCGCCCCGCGCCGGCTCAGCCCCCCGCACGCGCACCCAGCCTGTGTTCGCTGGGTGGGTGCAGCGTCGACTCACCCAGCTGGTCCTGCCACGGTCTCCACCTGTTCCGTACCAGGCGTGACAGAGGGGCCCCTCTGCTTCCTCCGAGGTTTGCTCCTGGCCAGCGATGGCCTCACACGCAGGGCAGGGAGGCAGCATGGATGCGCAAAATGTTTAGCTCATCTCATGGTCATCAGCGGCACTGATAAGTGTCCCGCGACCAAGAAATCCTGAGCCTGCCGGTGCGTCCAGCCCTTCTGCACGACTCAGGTCCTTCCGCCTTGTGACCTCATCATCCGTCCCCACACGGGCCCTCTCCCAAACTCTTCTCCAGTCCTTCCTGGTAGCGCTCAGCAGACCACACGCTTCTGTGCCTCTCGGGTTACACTTTCAGCATCATGACAGCGTCACCACAGGGAGGGCCTGTGGCCGGTGCGCAGGAGGCCTGTGCTCTGCCCCGTCACTGCCCAGACCTCTGTCCGTCTGGTCAAACTCGTGGCTTGGCTCGGAGTTCCAGCACTAGAGTTCTTTTTCCCCTTTCTCCTTATTTTGTCCATCTCTCCACAGTGCCTCACTGATCTCTACACTGTGCCCTGAATTCACTGACTCACCTCATTTAATACCCACTGATGACCTGTAGTGCGATTCCCTCCTCCAACGTAACATAACTTCTGCTTGATCAACACGCTCTGCATACAAACCAACCAGACTCAGCCCAGATGTTTCCTGCTGCCTGAAGCCCAGCCAGCCCCTGACCTCACCCCCCCCCATTCCTGCTTGCTAGCAACTCGAGGACTAACTGTGTGGCATGCTTGGACAATGAAGGGAAGGCCAGGTGTCATTCTGAGTCATAGCCTCCCTCTCTGCAGAAATATGAACTGACCCAAAGAAAGAAACCATTGCGAGTCACTGGAGTCAAGAATTATAGGTATATAATTATACATATTATGATATATAGTGTTTTCTCACCATTGGAGAGATAACAGTGCCTCTGAATATTTCCTTGGCTAACCGCTGAGATGGGACCATGGACAGACGTCCTGCAAAGGCGGTGAGAAGCCCGGGGGAGGCAGACAGTGGCCACGTGCCCACGGCCCCAGGTGGGAGCCATCTTCCCAAGGCACGGAGCGTTCTCGGGGTAGCCTGTCAGCTAACGACACTCAGGTTCCCCTCCTTAGGGCCGAGCGGTTGGCGTAGTTACCTTTGCTTTCCAATCCATAAATTCATAAGTAGAAAAATTAAACCCACGTGGTCTGAACAGAAAAGGATGGGCTAAACAATAAAATTTTTACTTAATCCCTTAATAGCTGGGTCTCAAACGAGTGACCTACAAGCCGTGAACTGCACCTTGTTCATCTTTATAACTCAGCACAATGCGCTTAATGTTTGTCGAATGTCATTAAAAGTCTGTTCTTAATGGGAGCAGATACGTCACTGAACAAAATTTAATTCCATGAAAGTTTTTGCTTCCTATTAATTTTACAGCCAGTACTGCTTTTTACTCAGCGAATAATTAGGCTTAACTGGAACGTTGTTTTAAATAATGGTCTCCAGTTATAGCTGCATGATAAATTCTTACTGCCAGAGGAGTTTAAACAGGTGATTGTTTCTGAGTCAAAACTGTCTTATAAACCGTCAAGTTTCTTACTAGAACTTCCCTCTGGCTCAGTGTGCCACACAAAGTCAGCTTAGAGAAGCACTGAAACACTTTGTGGCTGATGAAATATTAAGAAGCACCTGCAAAGTTCTCTCTGTAGTTACAGTTAAAATTACGGCAAGTTGCAAGCTCAGAAACTTTACATGCTGGCCAGTTAGCAACAGAGCTGTAGCACAAACGACAGAGCTCTGCCCGCAGGAACCAGGCACCGCCTGGACTGGGGTTGGTGGGCGGACGTGGGGAGGAGACACGTTACTCTTCAGACCCGCGGGTTGCGCGTTCAGCCAGATACCGTTTCTTGCTTTGAAACACCCATTTGTGATACTTCAGTGTGGCCACCAGGGGGTAGCAGAGAGA